GTGTCAGATACTTCCTCCGGCGTCCTGTTAATGTGGATTGACGCCGGAGGAAGTATCTGACAGCTGGAGGGAGGAGTTGCGGCCCGCCACGCCGTGATTGGCCGGCGGCCGCACACTACGGAGCCGGTGGGCGGAGCCTCGGGCCGCCCCGTCGTGACACACTGCTGCCCCTCTGCACTCTGCCGCCCCGAGGCCGGGCCTCGGTAGCCTTGTGGGAAATCCGGGCCTGCAGATGTCTGCATCCAGATACCAATAAAGTAACAATCAGCCAAAGTATAATTGTCAGTGATACCACCATATGTCAAATCCTTTTGAGGGGACACAGTCAGCACCGTCTGAACAAAAACTTGAGCAAAAAGCCCCACAAGTACAGGAGGAAAAGGAAAACAACAGAATTTAACAGAATTGGCATCAGTAGATCATCTTTTTAAATTTAGGACGCTGAACCAAATGCAAGCTCAGTCAGAAGATCCTATAAGGGCATCCCAGCTAGCTGCTAGTAATAAATGTTTTGTACAGCACCACAGCCTTAATAGCTAGCATCATGGAAAGAAATGCAAAAGCTACCTGTTCATACTGTAAGAAGCAAATGTAATTGTGTTTTGAATACTGTGAAACTGATAAGTTGATAGCAGATATTATGACAAAACCACTACCAAAGCCAGGCTTTGAAGAATTGTGAAAGAAGATCGGACTTAAATTAGAAATAGGTTTTTAGTGGTGGTTTTAGCGTGCTGTTTATACAGACATAGGTGCAACAACCATTCTCATATCCTATATTGTAATTAGTAGTTCTGCCACTTGGAGCTGATGTTGTGTTTTATGCTTGTATTGTATTGTTTTCCTAGTGGAACTACATGGTTATGATATGTAGGTATGTAGTATTTTTGCTAAATTCCTTTTTGTAAATTCCTTAGTCAGCACTGGGTTGTACCCAGCCTAAGTGTACCTAAACATGTTTCTTTATTTTGTATTTTATCTGCCGTATGTTGTTTGAGCTTGCTCCAGCAGGGTGTGACGGAGAGATATGACACTGTGTAAAGCTAGCCATACACCTATAGATTATCTGCAGATTTTCTATGGTCAGATGAAAAAAGTGCAACAGATTCCTCCATCTATGCTAAACTGTGTGGGTGGAGGCAGTGGTGTACACGCTTTAACCACTTGCCGTCCGCCCGTCCGTAAAAAAACGGACAGACGGCACTGCAGCATTGGTGCCCTAGCGGGCACGCACGGCCAGAAAAGACCCGACCAATGCAAACACCCGGTACCGGATGTTTCACATATAGACGATCGGCGGCTCCATAGCCTGCCGATCGTCTATATGTGCTCGTTTTTTCGCTCCTTGCTGATCTCCCTCCGGGCTGTGAATGCAGAAGTGATGTGTATTACATCACTTCCGCATTCACCTGTCAGTCATCTGGCTGCTATAGCCAGAGAAAAGAAGCTGATGAAGCAGATCTCTGCTTCATCAGCTTCTTTTGGGGTCCACAGGTCATATTAGGGGTCCTAGAGACCCCTAATGTCTCCATAAAGAGGACCTGTCAGTGTGCCTTTGCTATTATATAGGGGGATTGTTATCCCCCTATATAATAGCAATAACAATAAGTGCAAAAAATAAAATATAAATAAAAAAAATAAAAGTAACATATAAAAAAGTAAAATAAAATAAAAGTCACATATAAAAAAAGGTGAAAAAACCCCCCCAAAATGTTTCACTCCCCCACCCCCACGTTTACGCGCCTATAAACGTAAATACGCGTCCGGTGCCCCAGCGCGCAAAAATTACAATTGCGCTACACATGTTACATATCGCCGCGAACGTCGCAGTGAGAGCAATCATTTTAGGGCCATCAATCACTGATAACACTAAACTGATGAGCGGTAACAGCTTTTAAAGCGTCGCCTATGGCCAATTTTGGGTATTATCGTTTTTTGAGGTTTCGCGCGCGCACGCAATTTTAAGGCTTGACATGTTTAGTGTCTTTTTACCCGACGTGACCCCATCTTTTATATTTTACCAAAAAATTGGGTAATAATAAATGTTTTATCATTTAATATAGGGGAAACTGTTTTTTTTTTTTAAATTTCGGTAATTTTTCCTTAATATAGTAAAAAAATAAAACCCCCAGTGGTGAATAAATACCACCAAAAGAAAGCTCTATCTGTCCCCAAAAAAGGGTATAAAATTCATTTCAGTACAGCGTTGCATGACGGAATAAATGTCAGTCAAAGTACCGCAGCGCTGAATACTGAAAAATGGCCTGGATGGGAAGGGGGTTTAACACCGCGGATGTCAACTGGTTAAAAAGTGCCAAAAAAATCACAAAACTGCAGCAAACATGCATTTGTGAGCGTTGCCAATGAAGTGCAGAATCTGCCAAAAAGAAGTGAACACCGCAAATCATGTCAAATGTTTAATGTCAATCACAGCCTAAAAACAGAAGCACCACAGGCTCTGTCACCCATTCCATGAACCAAATGCAGAACATCTGCTCATAAACATCATCCAGTAGAAAGGTGTTCTGTACACTTATATACACTTAAGTTGTGCAGTACCTGAAGTAGAGATCCTGGTGGCTTTTAATGTGCTGGAAGAGCTGTGGGAGAGCATGAGCATATGCAGGTCCACTGCCTCTACCAGGAACAATTCCTTTACTCTGTCACGGGCCCGTCTATACTTTAACAAGCAAACAGCATCCCCGTCATCCCTTTAGCTAGAGAAGCTCCTAACTCCACCCCATCCATCACACTGTAAGTATACTGGACTAGCCATCTCTCACACAGCATTGAGCAGCTGTGCCTGCAGCGCCCTTAAAAATGTGGTGCTCAGGCCAGCCACCCCTCTGCAAATCAGATGAAAAATAATATGAGCTAGCTATAAGCCTGACTGGAATCCATAAAATGTGTACAAATGTTTCCTGCACTATTTTTTATGCACATTGTGCTTCCATAAGCACTTGAATCTCTATTTGACTACAGATCACTTAGGAGTGATCTGTAGTTAAATAGAGATTCAACTTCTGATTCTGATGACTTATGAATTATGAATTATGGTTCTGTTGACAGTATGCTTTCCACACGTTTGTATACTGTCATCAGAACCATAACCTAAGCACATAACTGCAAAATGTCAGCAGGGGACAACAAAGGAAGATTATATATTTAGTTATATTCTGCAGAACATCATGTACTAAAAGATCTTTATAGCTAGATTTGTTTGATGTGTACATAAATTATCCAGACAATTTAAGCAGTTGACCTTGCTGATATCCTGTTCTCCCAGGTTTGTCTCCCTTTCCTCTCCCATCGTTTATCTTTCTCCCTCTTCACCCTGTTTTGTCATCTCTTCCCCTTCTCCTGTGTCTTTTAGATCATCTTTCTCCATTTTTGTCACTCTCGTCTCTCCTTTCTCTACCCTGCTATCCAACATGCTCTTTTGCTGTGATCTCTCTACTCCCACTATAAGTAATCTCTCTCCTGTCATCTCTTCCCCTTGTTCTCCATTTTGACTTCCCATAATGGCATCTTTTACCTCTCTTTTACCCCTGCTGCCGATTAGATTGTAGGACACCAAACTGCTAGGTGGACTTAGCAACCAACCACCAGCGGTCAGGAAGTCAAATGATGACATCGTCAGCCCGCTGCAATTATGCAACCCCCGCAGGTGCCGGCTAGTTGCTAGGACTGCCTGGCATCCTAGTAACTAACCAGCAGCGGCAGCCAGTGGGGGAGTTGAATAATGACAGTGTCAGTCCACTGTCTGCTGTCAGTGAAAGTTCGCCGACCCATGGAACAGCGCCTCTCCCTCTAAGTGGCGGCCAAGGGCATGGCACATACAGTATGTGTTATGCCCTGGATACGCCACTGCTGGCCCTGTCCTGTAACTTAGAAGACTGGCTGTAGTATTCCCAAACTTGCTGTGCGTTCTGACTGGGCCTGCCCTTGACTCGAGCCCCATATATCCACATGAGCTGCTATGGCAGTAGTTCTTTCAGTGTACAGAACTGGCATTTCTGGCAAACTGGCATTTCCAGTGCTCCATTTACATTGCCTTGCCTGTATTGTTTTGCCAAATTATGCTTACAGTTACAATGGTTACGACATAAACACATTTCCAGAATCAGTCAGGAAGTTCAGTTCAAGCAATAGTTGAATATCACTTTGTAAAAATGACTATAGTTTTTCCACATACTAATATATAGCTGTGTTTCTTTATCATACATTATGTTGCATGTTACATACCCCTGACCCTCCAAAGTGCACTTGTTCTGGTGACAGTGAGAGGATTTCCCTCACTTTGAAAAGATTTCCTCTTACTTCCTATCTTCAGGACAGGAAGTAAAGGGAAATCTTCCCAATGGAACACATAAAAAAACCTAGCAGAGGTTTATAGCCATATACAATCCAATCCAATATAAAACAAACATTTTGGCTTTAGATATACTTTAAAATTAATTGGTATTACCTCATCATATCATATCATAAACAACATCACCTGCAAAGAAAACAGTCTTCTCCTCTTCAGGGTCTTCATACACAGCATCTATTTTATCAGGTAGCTCAGGCCAGAATGTAGCAACAAGGAGAGGACCCGATGGCTTCTCTCTGCGGTTCACAGACCGCCATATGAACCTGGAAAAAAGCAAATATTTAACATAAGATTGTGTGAATACACACAAGTCAAATAAATTCCCATTTTTTAAGCAAGCAATGCTAAGGAACAATTAAACTGAACTTTTTAACTCTTAAAACTAAACACCATGTTTAAGAGCAGATCCTTTCAATTCCTTTAGTCAGATATGCCTTTCTATGAATTAGTTTCACTTAGTTACTAGGTCTTGACTTTTTCTGGCTGCATAGCATCCACTGCCATCCCTCTGCCCAGCAAGAGTGGTGACTACTTATGAAATGGCAATTTCTATACCTTAGCCATAAAGTCAAAGAAAATCAGGCGCCCGGTATACTGTTTCTAGGATAAGGGTCTGGTATGGATTTTGGGGGGACCACAAAACACATAATTGTTTACATTTTCAGAAACCCTACATTAGAAGACTGGGAGGCTAAACAACTACTTCCGTGAACTTGAAAATGATTGTGAACTTTGAGGATTTACACCAGGATGCCCTGCAAGTGCATGTGTTTTTGTTCATTGGTACAATTTGCCTTAAGCAACCAATATAAAATAAATGGGCTGTAATGCACCTCAGTACATGAAAATGCAGTGCATGTTCGTTTTTGCAGCACATCGCCAGGGCCCTTTTAAATATTAATTGGGCCCCTCCACTTCCTGACCTGTGTGTGTGTATATGTGTATGTATGTACATACACACATACATGTATATACAGGTGAAACTCGAATAATTAGAATATCGTGCAAAGTTCATTTATTTCACTAATGCAACTTAAAAGGTGAAACTAATATATGAGATAGACTCATTACATGCAAAGCAAGATAGTTCAAGCCGTGATTTGTCATAATTGTCATGATTATGGCTTACAGCTCATGAAAACCCCAAGAACCCCAAATCCACAACAACAAAAAAGTAGAGTGCCGGTGGCAGTGAGTTCCAGACCCTAACCGCTCTTACTGTGAAGAACCCCCTTTCGCCCCTTGTGCTTGAATTTTTTTCCACCAACTTTAGGTGGTGGCCTCTAGTCTTTGTAATGGAGTTAATCTTAAAGAGTTTGTTGCCAATGTTGCTGTCACCATTGAACATCTTGTACATGAAAATCATATACCCCCTTAATCTCCTTACTTCCAGTGTGAACATGTTAAGTTTACATGCTTTGTTTACCGCAGCCTGGCACTGCAAGCTACCATTCAGTTTGTGGTCTACAATGACCCCCAAATCTTTTTATATTTCTGACTTCCCTAGCGGCATACCCATGATGGTATAGCCCATTTGTTTATTTTTATTTCCAAAGTGCATTACATTGCATTTATCGACATTAAACCTCATCTGCCATATTATTGCCCACTCCCCTATTTTATCCAGGTCCTCCTGTAATGTTATATTGTTACGATCCGTTTCTAATACCCTACCTATTTTTGTATCGTCTGCAAACACAGAAACATGGCTATTTACTCCCTCCCCGATATCATTAATAAATAGGTTGAACAGTATGGGACTCAGCACAGATCCTTGAGGCACACCGCGCTCATTACACTAGCCCAGTCCGAAAAGGTGCCATTTACAGATACTGTCTGGACACGTTCCCGTAGCCAGTTCTCTATCCACGTACACACCACCTCATCTATGCCCATAGCCCTCAGCTTGTGAAGTAAGCGCTTGTGTGGTACCGTATCAAATGCCTTTGAGAAATCCAGATATACCCCATCTACCGGCTTCCCTCCATCCATATCTCTACTTACCCCCTCATAAAAAGTTAGCAAGTTAGTAAGGCAGGAACGGTCTTTCCTGAACCCATGCTGATTGTCATTAACTAGGCCCTTATCCTTAACACATTTTACCAAATAGTCCTTAATCATACCTTCTAACAGTTTACAAACTACCGATGTTAGACTGACTGGGCTATTGTTCCCCGGTTGGCATATAGCCCCCTTTTTGAATATTGGAACTACCGTAGCCCTCCGCCAATCACATGGTACGCTACCAGTCACTAAGGATTCCTTAAAAATTAGGAATAATGGTCTTGTTATAACCTGGCTTAGTTCCCTAAGTACCTTGGGGTGCAGGTTATCTGGTCCCACTGCTTTATTTGCATTGAGCATTTTAAGTCTTTGTTGTATCCCGCTTTCTGTCAACAGCTGTGGTATATTATGGGTTGAACCCGTTTCCCTCCTGAGTGTATACTGAGGAGAAAAAAGTGTTCAGCCCCTCGGCCCGTACTTTATTGGGCCTATCTGCTCCTTTCTTACCTTTTTACTGTTAGTATATTGGTAGAATTTTGGGTTGTTTTTTTTTACTAACTGTGGCAATATGCTTTTTGCATTCTATTTTAGCTTCCCGGATTACTAGTTTGCATTTTTTGTTACATTCCTTGTAGTTAAGGAATGCCAATGCCGTCCCTTCCATCTTATATTTTATAAATGCCATTCTCTTTGCCTTAACATGTGGTTTTACAGTTTTATTTAGCCATATAGGTTTAGTCTTTGATCTTTTGTTTTTGTTACCCAATGGTATACACTTTGAAATAGCAATATGTAATGTGTTCCTGAAACAGTCCCAAATTTGGTCTGAGTTTAGGTTGTGAAATCAGTTTTCCCATTTTATTTCCCCCACTAGTTTGCGCAGCTTATCGAAGTTGGCCCTTCTGAAATTTAGGGTTCTTGTCAGTCCTGCCCTCTTTCCTTTCCTGTATTCAATATTGAAAGTAATCACATTGTGATCACTATTACCCAGTGTCTCCCCAATTGCAATATCCTCAATTAACTCCCCCTTATTAGTAATTATTAAATCTAGGATGGCATTTTTCCTAGTTGGAACCTCCACCATCTGTTCCAAGAAATTGTCTCGCAACAAGTTCAGAAATCGGCCCGCCTTTGTCGATCCTGAGGTACCATTAGCCCAATTGATGTCCGGGTAATTGAAGTCGCCCATCACGACTACATTGCCCTCCCTCCCAGCTATTTCTATTTGGGAGTGTAGATTTGCTTCCCCTTCCTCCCCTATATTCGGAGGCTTATAGCAAATACCCACAATAAGTTTACGGCTAGGGTCCGCCATATCGAGCTCTAGCCATAAGGTCTCCACATCTTCTCCACTGTTTGACGTGATATCGTCCCTTATATGCATATTTAGATAGTTTTTAACGTAAATGCAACCCCCCCCCCCTTCTCCCACATCTGTCCCTCCTGAACAGGTTATACCCCTCTATATTAGTAGCCCAATCATGTGTGCCGTCTAGTCAGGTTTCCGATATACCCACTATATCGAAGTCCTCTTCGAGTATCATAATTTCAAGCTCTTCTAATTTATTTGCTAGACTTCTAGCGTTGGTGTACATACATTTAATTCCTGTCTTGTTATGGGACAAAAGTTTACATCCTTCTTGTTCCCCACTAGTTTTATTGTTTGGCCTTGACGTAGGTTGTACGTTCTGACAATGTATTTGCTACATTGACTGTTTCTACTATTTTAACCTCAGTGATTATTTTTACTGTGTTGACTGGAGTGAGCCCACTATCTACTCCTCTGTTACTTCTTTCTGTATTATAATTTTTTTTATCTACGATTAATTTATCTCCATTTGATTTAAAGTGACATTGAACCCTAAGATTTTTTTAACATAAAACAATACTGTAATGTGTGCCTTACTGTAATCCATGGTAGTTTCCCTTCTCTTTGCTGCTCTTCCTTTTAAATCTGTATCTGTTCTCATGCTCTGCAGAACTTCTGTTTTGCAGCAGACTGCCTTGTCTCAG